AAGATATCCTTAGTCCTTCTTAAGTACTTAAGAATCATCTTAACGGCTTTCCAGTGTTCTTCACCTGGATTAGACTGATATATGCTCGTTACACTAAGTGCATGAGCCACATCAGGTCTTGTACATAACATTGCATACATAATGCTACCAATAGCTGATGCATAAGGTATATGATTCATCCGTTCTCTTTCTTCAGGTGTCTTTGGAGACATCGTTTTAGAAAATGAAACTCCATGACTCATTGGAATATATCCACGTTTGGATTCTTCCATACTAAACCTTTTTAGTACCTTATTTATGTACGTAGACTGGGATAGTCCGATCATCTTTTTAAATCTATCTCTATAGATTTTTATCCCTAGGATAAAAGATGCTTCTCCCAAGTCTTTCATGGAAAACTGTTTTGACAACCATGTCCGTGTTGACTGTAACATCCCTATATCATTCCCAATGAGTAGGATGTCATCAACATAGAGTACAACAAATACAACTGCATTCCCACTAACCTTTTTATAAACACATGGTTCATCCGGATTCTTATGAAAATCAAACATTTTGATCGTTTTATCAAACCGAATGTTCCAACTCTTTGAAGCTTGTTTAAGTCCATAAATGGACCTTTGAAGCTTACAAACCATTTGTTCGCTCCCACTGGATATGAAACCCTGCGGCTGTTTCATATAAATGTCTTCCTTAATGTTTCCATTAAGAAAAGCAGTTTTCACATCCATTTGCCATATCTCGTAATCATAATACGCAGCTATGGCTAGCAATATCCGAATAGATTTAAGCATTGCTGCTGGTGAAAAAGTTTCCTCATAATCAACACCTTGTTTTTTAGTATAACCTTTAGCAACCAGTCTTGCTTTAAAAGTATTTACTTCTCTACCTACACCACGTTTTCGTTTGTAAACCCATTTACAACCTATGGGTACAATACCTTGTGGTGGATCAACCAAGGTCCATGCCTTGTTTGAATACATGGAATCCATTTTGGATTGCATAGCTTCTTGCCATTTATCTGAGTCCAATGTCTGACATTGCCTCATCATAGCTTATTGGATCATTATCTAAAAGGAGTCCCTCTTTTTTGTTTTCTAACAATAGGTACAGCCTCTCAGGCGCCCTAGAAATCCTTTCAGATCTCCGAAGAGGTCGTGTTATAGATGGTCCAGTCTCTATTGGTATGTTATTTATGGTATTTTGTGGAATTTCTTGTGGTTCTTCATTAAGTTCTACAACTCCGCTATTCGTAGAAAGAAACTCTTCCTCTAAGAATACAGCATTCCTCGAAACAAACACATTTTGTCCATAAGGGTTATAGAAATAGTATCCAATAGACTCTTTTGAATACCCCACAAATTTACATAAGATGGATCTCATATCCAACTTACCTTCCACTAGCTGCTTCACATAAGCTGTACAACCTCATACTTTCAAATACTTGTACGAGGGTGTTTTGCCACACCATATCTCATAAGGTGTGATGGGTACAACTTTACTTGGCACTCTATTCAAAATATGTGCTGTTGTTTCTAAGGCATAACCCCAGAATGAAAGCGGTAAACTAGTGGAACTCATCATTGATCGAACCATGTCCAACAATGTTCGATTCCTCCTTTCTGAAACTCCATTAAGTTGTGGAGTTCCAGGAGGTGTACTGTAACACCCCGCCTTATCATGAAAATCAGAGTGCGTTTATATAAACCTTTTTTAAATAAAATACTGACTGGTTTGCAAAATACTATTTCGAAGTGCTACCATAATACATGACTTACTTTTGAATCAGACTGATTTAAGAAAACAGCTCACAGTCTGCTGACAGTCAAAAAGGACTAAGAATGACGAACAGTGAAAAGTCAGCGGAAACTGTAGTGGCAAAATAGGATAGCAGTGCTATGATCGTGAAAATAAGTCTACGGGAGATAGCAATAGCACTGCTATGCCAAATTCAAACTGTACAAAATGTAATTTAAACTTTATAAGCATAACTCCCATATAATTTAAACTTTATAAGCATAAGTCCTGAACCGCTCGTCATCTCACATCTTCGCCCCGTCTCCATGACCTGAAAAACATGATAAAATTGAGTCGTGAGCACTAAAGTCCACTGTGCTCCATGGAAACTCATACTAAAGTAAACAGTGAAAATAATTACAATAACATGATCCTGGCATGAGCATGAACATGAAACCGGTACTGAATAATCATGATCTGATACTAATGGTGAGATAATATCATCACCTGCCTGATACCTGAACATCTGCCAGCAAAATACTAATGCCGGACACCATGTGCACACTCTAGTAGGCAGACTAAGGCCACTAGAACCCAGAATGGACCGGCGACCATTACGAGCGGATACTGATAATACATACCTCAAACATGGTAGAATAATTATAATCAATGTAATACCCAGTCTGAGTCCCCACCTGATTCGTCTGAATAAAAAGGCAGTGCTGACAACCGTATCCTGATCAAACTGAAAATAATATAAACAATTACTAAATGCTATGCTCAGCCTGATAAAATAACCCTTTAAATATGTTAAGATGCTCTATAGGACTTAAAAATGATTTACGGATTTAATTGGTATAACCGGAACCAGCTAAAATCGGAATTGAACTGACATGAATTTTTTTGAACTGAACCGGACGCAGAATTTGATTGAAAATAGGATTGAAATCATGAACCGGAACTTAAATATCAAAACTTGGTCGAACCGGTCCAAACCGGTCTGAACAGGGTCTGAACCGGTCTAGCCGGACCGTCAGTCTGCTCGGACCGGTCGGTTGGCAGCTGACTCGGCCCACGGCCTTGCTGCGGCTTTGGGCGCGACTGCTGGTGTGAATGGGTACAGACACGGCCGCTGTCGGGCCTGCCGAAGCCTCGGCCAAGGATGCTGCGTGCACCTGGCCATGGCTGACGTGAATTAAGCCCATCAGGACGTGACCTGGGCACTGCCGCACGCTACCTGCGTTGGCTGCCGCGCGACTGGCATGGTCGGGTGTTACCGCACACCACGACGTGCTGCTGAACTCATGAATATGCGCACAAGCGCTGGCTGGACATGACTGGCATTGCGCGGGCGCTACTGAGCAACACCCGCGACGCTGGCTACTCGAGCGGCCCGCTGGCGATGCCGGGGCCACTGTCGCGCGATGTTGTGCACTGGCGTGCGTTACCGCATGCTGGCGTGCACGACTGGGTGTTGGCGTGCGCACGCGCATCGCCAATAGCTACCTGTTGCGGGTACTGACCTCACGCGGCACCATACCGCGCATCCCCTCGCACCCCATACACCCGCCGGTACGCTGCGGCCGCGGCGTGCGGACAGCACAAGTACGGCCGACCCTCGTCGGTCGTCTGGCGACTTTCTCCGGCAATATCAACATGAAACAAAATATTATAACATGAAATGATCATACATGCTAATTTTTCTTAAAATTAACAGGCTTTGCTCGATGAACTAATAGAGTGTCGGGGTACGCACTCCGTGCGCGCACGATTGGCGATAAGCCAATCCCTCGACCAAACATGAATTTTCTCCGACCGATCTTCAGAAACTGACAATAATACCTTATTTAAAGGCTGTTGGGACATAATTCACTCGGACAAATATGATCATAATAGGAGATAACATGACACGGCCCGTAGGCATGTGCTACGTGCGCTGCCGACGAATTTAAGCCAATTCATGAATAAACCTTCAACTTGTCTCGACCAACATGAAGTAACTGAGTCTAAAATAAAAATAATTCTTCGAGTGAAAGTACGAGAGAGATATTCAAAACCTAGCTTAAAACATAATGAAGAATGATTACAAAAACTACTCTTTAATTTCTGTACGTCGCGGCCTCCGCGGCCGCGAAGCATGCCGCGAGCCGTTGTGAAGAACGCCCGCGGCTGAACTCGAGGCCGCGACTTTTCCTGAACTGAAGCTGCATTCTGGGACCTTTGTTGTTCTCCGCGGCCGCGGTGAAGAAGGAGTCGAGGCTGCGGCAACTAAAACTGGGCACGAGTAATTTTGTTCCCCACGGCTGTCGGGAACCGTCGCGGGCCGCGGGGAAGTAGTTTTGCCGCATCTCTCGGGCTTTCATGTATGCTTCTGGACTCGGAATTTACTTCAATCTTTTTCTCCTGGACTCGACTCCAACCTCCTAGATAGTAATCCCCGCACGACCACTTTCCAACCGAGCCACCTAACCTACACATCACCACGGACAAGAAAAGCACAGAAAAATGAGAAAAACACACAAGAAAACCAAAAACAAGCAAAATAGGGAGAAAACACGAAAAGACACAAAATGGACCAAGAACCAAATAAAAATACCTAGAATGGGGAAAAATAAAGATAAAACGAACATGAAAAAGATGACAAAAGTAGAACGAACATGTACCCACCGATTTTGGACATTAAGCATGTCGATGCCCCAGTTCATCGCATAAAAAACACCTCGGAGCACCCGTTGGGCGAATGTTACCCCCAGGCACATTTCCACCAACACGACCCCCAACCGTAGTACCAGAAGGAGCAGAAACCCCAGTTGGTCGAATGGATGAAGATGGTGTCGAAGTCGTAGGATGAGTCGAAGGCTGTCGAGACGGCAAAAATGAACGAAGGTGGCCGACAGGCCTGCTGTTGTTCCACTAGTAAAGCCCGCTGATGTGTCTCTGAAACAGAAACCGGAATGAACATATTCAACACATCCTGGAAAGAGACACATAACCCATCAATATATCGGGAAGCTAATTGATCCGGAGTTTCCCGAGTATCTACATGTGCCAAGAGTTTATAAAATTCCACGTTATACTCATCAACACTACGTGAACCTTGTCACACCCCGCCTTACTACTAGCTTTGAAAAATCAGAGTAAAATTTTCGTTTTT